CCGTCCGTCCGTCCGTCCGTCCGTCCGTCCGTCCGTCCGTCCGTCTGTCCGTGTGTCTGTTTACAAAACTTCTACACCTTTGAAGATAGAAAGCTGAAATTTAATACGTACATAGATCTTCACTAGAAACTTATTTCCGTAGAACAAGATTTTTACCTATCTCCTCCCCTCTAGAAGTTATACCCCCCCAAAACCCTAAAAATGGCCTTTTTTAAATATTTGTTGCAATGAAACCATAAGCATTTTTGAAATTTTGCAAACGCAGAAAGGCAGTAGCTTGCTTCCCCTTGCGCGGTATACTATAGTTCAACTTAAGAAAAACAAAATGGCCGTTCAAATTTACCGTTATTTAAAGTCCTTTTTTTCCAAATTTTTGATGTCGTTTTTCTTTTAGACCCCAGACTGTAGAAGCTTGAAATTTTAGGAGCTTTTAGATATTAATAAATAGTTCATTTTGTTAGAAGAAAATTTTTTTCCATCTCCACCCCCTCTCAAGTTATCACCTCTTGAAATTCGTAAAATTTGAATTTTTGACACCTTATATTTCCGAAACCGCAAGCTTTTCCAAATTTTTATAAACGCAAAAAGCTAACGGTAAATTCCATGAAATTGAAAAATATAATTATTTTTCTTAACTCACACAATTAACCCTTAAAATCGAGCATTATGTTAACCTCTTTTTATATTAATTTTTGCTTTATTTCAAAGACTGCATAAATCGTTCATCCTAAATATATGCAATCCTAGAAATAGTTTTGTATATGAATGAAAATAATTTTAATAGTGTGATAGCTATACATAGACTGTATTTAAAAGCAGAATTTTCACTTGTTGAAGGGAAAAGTGCTACAATACAAACCATTGGTTTGACCCAACTTTATTAGTAAGGTGCTTAATGTTATGTTATGATTAAAAATAATTTTTTTCCAATGTTATTTCAACTTGTTAAAAAAATATGTTAATTTTAATCATATTTTTTCATAAAACATAAATTGCAATCAATAGAAATTTAAGAAAGTTTTTTTATTTTTGTTTCTAATTCGAAAAAATTAAAATTTATTATGAAAATAAGCTATAAATTTCAAAATTACAAAAAAATAAAAAAAAAATTTTAACTCTTTTTTTACGTAGCTGTATATTTTTTTTTTCTTTTAAATTTTGAATACCAAAATCAAATATTGTACTTTTTTAAATCCAATATTTGTTTAGTATTTAATTTATGTACTATTACATAACATTAATAACTATTTTTCGCCTACTAGTATTTTGATTTTCTTATATTTTCAATATAATGTAGTCTTTGAGTCGAATATTTTATTCTTACGAGTGAAAAATTTAATGTAGTACTGTTAGCAATATTATCAAATACACTTAAAAGAAAGACAAGAGCAGGAACAAAATGCCACTTTTTAAGATCATTTTATTTCTATTTGTTTTGTCTTTTGTTTTTTTTTTGTTGTGGATATGATCACATTGAGTGATTAAATGAGTGAATGAGTAAATGAGTGAGTAATTTACACTGAGCTCCGCCTATTTAAAGCAAAAATACTATTAAGTAATAAAGAGGATTATAATTACAAAAAAATCCAATGGCTGTTTGTTCTTTTGTTAATTTTTATTTTAAAATAATATTGTGTAAGTAACTAAGTATGCATATAAATACATACATATCTACATATAAATACCTTAATGTTGCATATGAGTGTATTGCTTGTTTGTTATTTTGAATTTTCATCATTTTTTTAAGAAGAATAAGTGCCTATACTGATTTTAACAGTAAATATTTTAGAGACGAATGTGAATAGATTCTAGTTCACTATCATTCATTCAAATATTTAATGAGGTAGATATTACTAAAAGTAGATTCAGTAAAGAAGAACAACAACATTTAAAAAATTAGAAAATGTAAAAAAATAGAAAGCTATAATATAATAAATTGCTATTGATAAGTCGATAATCAATTTCAAATCGGGATTCCAACATGCAATTGTGCATAAAATTTTAGGCTTCGACTAGCTTAAACTTTTTCTGTCCCAAAGGTTTTTGATATTTCATCTATTCGACAGAAAACTAATCAGCAAACTAATTGTACTCTATTGAAAACAATTAATTTTATTTCTATACACAACTTGTTGACAAACTATTGACATACTTAACAAATAGATAAGTTTACGACTAAACGGCGTTTTGTCGTTTTTGTTAACGGCGACAAAATTATTGTATTTGTGGAGAATGATATAGGAGTGTCAATGGTTTGGCTATCAAAACAATAATTTTAAATAATTTGGCGAAAAGCAAAGTTGGTTTCTAGTTTGTTCATGGCACTTAACAGTATATAACTTAGACTTTATGTATGACTAATTATAGATTGTATAGTAGAAGAATTATTTTTATCAAAAATAGTTAAACATTTAAATTTTGCTTTTCTTTTCTAATTTTTCGATCAATCATGTTTTTGAAATATTTTGAATCTATAGTTGAATACCAATTATCTAAAATAAAAATTATTTTGCACAGAACATAAGCATATTCTCAAAAATCATATTAGAAAATATCTTTGTAGTTATACGACTATAATGTATGTGACATACATCATCTTTCATAAAAGATTTCTTATTTGACAAATTTTAATAAAATTTTATTTAATTCTACTTAAAATGCCAAAAATCTACATTTTAAATATAAACAAATTTTTAAAGAGCACATAAATTAAATTTCTCACACCAATTACAAATGAATCTCTTTTATTTCGAAAATAAATTTTACTACTCACAATCTAAATTAATTAAATTGTTTGAATTTGTATAAATGTAAAAATACACGAAATGAAAACTGTTCTCAACATAATTTACTCATATTCCAAATTTTTCGAATGATATGAGAAGAATTGGATTTTCTCTTTTAGAATAAAATTTACACTCATTTTGTGTTTTCATAAAATACAAACACAGGTGCACTGTTTAGTTTTCATATAAACTATCAACGAAAAGAAATACACACATATACTGTTATACGTTTTTGATTTAAACAAGTGAATAAAATAATATAATAATATTATTAAATTTAGCAAGTTAACTCATACCTCAAAAAATAAACTCATACTTTTAAAAAAAATTACTCATTTATATCTTATAGTAGAATTTTCTACAGGTTTCTTTTACTTTTGTGTTATAAATTTTCATAGTATTAACGGTATAATATAAAAGTGTTATATATGTGTTATACAAAGTATTTAATACATAGGTATCCCAAATTTTCTCTTTCTTTCAAAGCAAATATTTTATTCCTTCTTTTTTTGAATTTTAAGTATTTTCTCTTTGAATAGTTTATTTTCTTTTCATTCATTTGTTTTTAAATATAAATTTTTAAAGTTCGTTTATTTTACTCAGTGAGCTCCACTTAATTTTTAATTATTGAATTTGTGTGCGTTTTTATGTTTTATATTTACATTTTATAATTTTGTTATATGAATGTAGTGATATTTTTGAGTATGATTTTGTTCTCTGACTCTCAATCTATAGAAAAATACAAAAATTTTATTATGGGAAATGGAAATAATTTTAAGAAACAAGAAAAACTTTACAATTTTAGTATCTCACAGAGTTTCAAAGATATTATAATACTGTCCGAAAGTTAGAGTTTTTATGGTGGTACTATACTATTCGAGTAAATAAAAATAATAAAATATAAGAAAAAAAAATATAAATAGAATATGTATATAACGTGTATAACAAATTGTAGATGCAATAAAATATAGAGAAATATATAGAGTGTAAATATTGTGAACTCATATAGTTACATACATTTATATATATTTGCACACTTGTATGCTGGGATTAAATATTTTTTTTCTATACAACATTTTATTTTTCTGTATCACAAACAATTCAGCGAATAATTTTATGGATATAGAAATTTTAGCGACGGCATAACATATAGAATCCAATATCAGGCAGGATAGTATGCAACATTAATAAATATACATATGTGATTGTATAAGTGTGTATAATCAAATTCAAATTTGGAGCTCGTTTGGATATGCTTATACATAGAAAGGTGTATGTTAAAGCATGTATATAGATACATACATCTTTTTTTTTGTGTAGTGTGTATAACTCAGAATATAATATGCCTGTAGAGTAGAGTGAATTTATTTTCTTTATACATACTAATGTTTATGTAATACAATATAATAAAATATATAAAATACCTCAAGTATATTATATATAGAAATATTAGAACATTTTCATTCATAAAAACCAGTTGTATACACAACGTAAAATTCAGTCTATTTCAGACAATCGCGACGTTTGGTTGTGACTTAAAAAATATATAAGAAAAAAAATAAGTATATATAAAAAAATTTATTATATATTAAAAAAAAGAAAAAATCCAAAATTCAAATTGAAAAAAAATTTTTAAAAAGAAATTAAGTGAAAATAAGTAAAACAAAAACAAATAATTAATTAAATATTTATGAAAAATAAAATCTTTATGCTTCAACGTTCAAGAATTATATAAATAAAATAAAAATCAATAATATTAAAGAAAAAAAAAAAAATACAAAATATTTTTTGTCCTGAGCTTTTTATTTTTTTTTCTTCTTGTTTTTTCGCTATATTATAAGTACAATATTTAAAGGAATATTCTTAAATTTTGGAAAGAAAATTTGAAAAAAAAATTATTGCAATATTTTTAGACTTTAAAATTCTTAATATAATAAAAAAAAAATAAAGTGCAATATTATATTAAAAATATATCAAATATAAAAATTATTCAAAAATATTTTAATATTATCATTAATTTATTCAATTAAATTTTAAAACCAGAACTTTAATATTGTAGAAATTTAAAAAAATACAAAATTGAAAAACATTATCATTACCTCAAGGTTAAAATAACCGAGAAGATAATAAAATAATTATATATATATATATACATTTAATAAAATAAAAAATTTTTCGAAAATTTATAAAAAAAAAACTTTCATTAATATTTAAACAAAATTTGGAATGTTTTTAATTAATAAAAAATAAAATATACTGAGAAAAATATTCAAAAATTTTGAATAAGATTTAATAAATATTTTCAAAGAAATACAAGGAAAAAACAAAAAGAATAGACCAGAAAAATCAACAGATTTATTTCGTACCTGTGATTCATAAAAATTAAAAATTATTAAAGAAACACACAAGATACTTACGTTGTGTGCTTGATATTAGAAAAATTATTTTAAATCAAAAGGCAAAAATAATAAAAAAAAAAAATTTTTTTTTTTAAAAAAATGTAAAATTAATAATGAAAAATTTATTTTAATGTTCGGTGAAAAATTTGAAAGAAAAAAAAATTATTTTTAATATAAACTTTGTATAAATATAAAAAAGAAAATTAAAAGACAAAACAATTTACAGTTAGAAAAATGTGTAAAACATTCACACAGTTTTCGTTCTATTAAATTAGAAAAACAAAAATCAAGAATTCAAGATAAAAATTTTGAAAATTGGGAGGAAAACAGAATTTTCATTAATAAAAAAGAAAAAAAGTTTGGAAAAAACGGGGGAAAGGAAAAAATCCATACCGGTATGTATACCTGTAAAAAAATTTTTTTGGCCAATTTTTTGCTTTAATTTGATTTTTGTTTTCGGTTTTGTTGCTCATTTCAAATAAAAAATTTTTTTGTAAATGAAAAATGGTTCTTATAGTTAGAAATTTTTTCGTATTGTTTTTTTTTTTCTGTTCCTGTTTTTGTTTTTTATCAATGAATTTTCAGTATACATATATATGTATATACCAAATTAAATATTTATAAAAGGTACACATCTCTTTTTTTTCCAAGGTTAAATAAAATTTTCTATATATATTTTTATTAATGGTGGCATGTATACATATATACGTAATTTACATATAATGTATATGAGGGTTTATATAACAATATGTATATGTAAATTTATATACAAAATTTATGTATACCTACATTTATTTTGTGAAATTTATGAATTAAAAAATTTCTTCTATAGTCTCCCAAGTACAAGTATATGTAAAGGGCAAAGTATTATGTAAAATAATTTTTTTTCCGTTTATTTTTTTTTATATTACCCTTAAAAAACCATCTGAATTTTGAAATCTCCTTTTTCATTCTGACATTTTTTTTCTTATAAGAAATATGAGAATATACGAGTATATTATATAGAGTTTATATATATATATATATATATATATATGTACTTATAATTATGTATGAAAAAATTTTCATTACACGTATGCTATGTATTAAAAATAATTATTTAAGAATTATGTCTGTACATGGTACAACTTAAGTATATGGATACAGGCACCCTGTTATGCGTGTATTTAAATTATTTTTTAAAATTTTACGAAAAATATCAATTTATTATATTATTTTATGATTTGTAATGCAATCAAATAAATACCATGATATAAAATAAAATAAAATTTCATTTAATAAAAAATTTAAGTAAAATTAAAAAATTTCATAATTTTTACAATACTTATTTAAAAATAATTTCATATTATTTTATAGAAATAATTATGTTCCAAGTTTACTTTAAATAAGTCTATTTAATGTTAACAATTTATTACATTAATGAAATATTCGTTTCTTAGATTATTTCAAACCACTTAATCTAAAATATATTTATGTGAGCTATTGAAACATGCTTAAATTTATATATTTTTAAAAATATATTAGTAATATTAGGTAATTAATAATATATTAGAATTTTAAACGATTTATTAATAATGTAGTTTTTATAATTTTATAGAGATTAGAAAATTAACTACATGCAATGAATTTCAGAATAGGATAGCATAAAAATTTTATTAAATTATGTAAGATCTACAACTGTAAAACCTCTGTACAGAATTCATAATACAATATTCAATATTTACTATATTCGATATTTCAAATTCCTAATATTTCAAGTATTATAAATAGAAAATACATACAAATATATTTTGATATTATTTCAAGTTGCAATTAATTTGAAATTAAGTGAAAAAAATAAAATTAAGATAAAACTTTAATAAGTACGTCCACTTGAGCACAAATTTGATAAATTTAGAATTGTTTTTTTTTTTGTTTTGTGAATTCTTTATATACATATAAACATCATATATGTACTTATAGTCAAAGTAACATAGAAAATTTTTTATGTGAAGAGATTTCCATTAAAATAAAAGTTTTCTGAATTTTCATTTTCCTTTTTGTGTATAACGTTTAAATAATATGAGAACTTTTCCTTTTGAAAATAAAAATTTTCTTTTTTCATATGCGCAAGTCAAAAACAAAGTTATACATGCAAGCTTTCATTTTATGTATAATTATGCCAGAGATGATATAAAATAATATTATTTTAATTTGAAAAAATCCAAAACAAATAATTACACTTTAACGAAAAGTAAAATTTTCTCAATAATATAGAATTATGTTTAATGTTTGCAGGCTCTTTATATTTGAGTTTTGGGTCAAATTATTTACATAAACTGTAATACTTCAGTTCTTTATTTAATTTAAGACATGTTTTAGAGTGAATACTCAATGAATCCGTTTAGATTATGATTCTTATTTTTCACATTATTAGATTGTTATTGAGAGAAAATTGCAAAAATAAAATTCGGCATTTGTACAAATAATTTATAGAAATCAGAGAACTTTTTAAATGTTTATAGAAGAATGAAATGAAAAGTTCCTCTTATTCAATGTCAAATTAAAGCTTTTATTAGATATTTATTTTACATATTTACATCATAAGTATGTATATGAAAGTGTATCAGTACCTTATATTTCTCTATAATAAAGTGAAATTATGGTTACATTCAAGCTCACGGTCAATATCAAGTAAAGGGAAATTTTTTTCTGCTGTAACATTATTATTATGTAATTAAAATGTAAATACATATATAGTAATCTTTATTTATAGCTGAGAACCTACCTGAAATATAATTTATGTATGCTTGCGAGTTATATTCCTTGTTTCTTTAAAATCAATGTTTTTTATTTCTTACGATTTATTAAACGAAGATGTATGCTTTATTACATGCTAGCAATTAAATTTCATTCTTTATAAAAAATGTTAATAATAATAAAAAAAATATTCTATTTTAATTTTACAGATCTATACTAAAATAATTGAACATAAAAATTTTTTAAAGTTCAAAATATGATTATTGAAGGAATAGAAACTTTAATTGTGCCATCACAATATCAACCGTATTTATTAACAGAATCAGCAGCTCAAGCTCATAATAATAACAATAATAATAATTTTAATAATAATTCAATCGAAATGTTAGGTGGCGGCACAGATGCTTATATTTATCGATCTGTTGTTCCACAACAGATTAGTCCACAAATTAAATCATTATCAAACTATCATCATCTTCATAATCAACATCATATACAGCCACATAATAATATGCAGCAACAAAATCAAAATCATCAACAAACACAACATCATCAACAGCAACGGCAGCAAGAAACAAAAGATTCACAACAACAACAACAACAGCAGCAACAGCAGCAACAATCATTAATTTCTCTTAATAAAAATAATAATAATAATAATAATAATAGTAACAGTAACGTTAATAGCAATAGTAATAGTAATAATAATAATAATAATAGTAATAACAACAATAATGATAATAATAGTAATACTAGCAGTAATAATAGTAATAATAATAGTAATAATAATAGTACAATTGACAAAATGCCAGTAGTTGAATCAACAAGTATTAGCTCTAATCATTTAACACTTTTGGATACAAATACAGTTAATCGGCCAACAGCAGCAAATGGATTAATTGATCAACAATCTGGTGATTTAAATACGCCCATAAGAATCTCAAAAGATATGCCATCATTTTTTGGTCCATCCACTATTGTTGAAGCACCTTTGATAACTGGTAAGTTAAAATTTTTATTTTTTTATTATTTGTTTTTGATTTATTAAAATATCATTTGTTTTATTTATAAAATGAAAGTTTTTCATTAAATACATACAATCGTCAAATCATATAGCTTTTCATAACCAAAACCTTTTTCTGTTGTTTTCTTTTGTGTCATAACAGGTTCTGTGGAATCTGATAATTTATCATTAGAACCACAATTATCACCCAGTCCAGTACAAAGTTTATATAGTCCATTGAAAGAAGAACGTTGTACACCCATATTATTCGTTGAGGAAGAATCAAGTAATAATAGTAATTCATTATATATTCAGCAACAACAGCAACAACACATAAAATATACAATTAGTAGAAACACATTACAACACAATAGCAATAGTTATTCAAATTACGAACACTTAGATCAAAAACATTTACAACAACAAGCAATTTCACCTAACACTACCTCACACGACACGCATACAACAACGAATAATCAAAATCATGAACACGAACATGATATTAATCATCAAAATCACCATAATCAACATCCTTTACATCAATATCAGTACACAAATATACCAATAAATTCTTCAACCCAAAGCAATGATCGAAATTCTTATACATCAACGTTTACAATTACAGATTTCACCTCATTGGGTAATCTGTCAGCAACATCAGCAATTTTAGCAAATCATATAGATTCTCCGAATTCTCCTGATGTCCCTGGTTATACATCACCACCGTCAGCTGATCTAAATACAAGCAACTGGAGCGTTACAAGTCAAGACAAAACATTATTTGAGTCCCCCGTTATTAGTATACTTGGTACATCATCAAATGGCCAAAATAATTCAACGATATCTTATACAACACAACAAAATTCAAATATTGATAATGTCAGTACAATATCATCACAAATATCCGGAACATCTATTGACTACCGACCACAATATATTGACTTAATGGAATTACCTATGGAATGCCCACCTAGTATAATTTTAAAACAGGAGCCATCAACATTCAATTTAAATAGCTTAACAAATTTTGGTATGCAAAGTCCTCCAATACATCAACAGACTACACAACCCCAACAAACACAACCACAGCAATCACAAGATTTATATTATACAAGTCAAGCAGCTGCAGTCACAACTATATCTCCACCAAGATATCAATGGCTTGATACAACATCAGATTATGGAAGTTTATCGCCAGCATCTTCAATTGGTAGTGTAATTCCAAAACAAGAATTATATTCACCACCAAATATTGTGCAATACCAACAGAGTTCACCATCACAATTACAACAGCAGCAACAACAAAGACCAACAGTATACAATAGCCAACCAGCACAATTAGCTGAATATAATGCATCAACAAGCAAGGGATTAGAGATTTTACATCAAGTTTATCAACAAAGTACATTTCCATTAAAATTGGTTCCTGTTAAATCACGTAAATATCCAAATAGACCTAGTAAGACTCCAGTACATGAACGGCCATATGCTTGTCCAGTTGAAAATTGTGATCGTCGATTTTCACGTTCTGATGAATTAACACGTCACATTCGTATACATACCGGACAAAAACCGTTTCAATGTCGCATTTGTATGAGATCATTTAGTCGATCCGATCATTTAACAACACATGTACGAACACATACAGGGGAGAAACCATTCTCATGTGATATTTGTGGTAGAAGATTTGCTCGATCTGATGAAAAGAAACGTCATGCAAAAGTACATTTAAAACAAAGAATAAAAAAAGAAAATAAATTAAGACAGCGGCAGCAAGCACAAGCTCAAGCTCAAGCGCAAGCCCAAGTCACTGCTAATTTAATAAGCTCAACAAATGGCATTTGCGCCTAACTAGAAAATAAACCAACATTCATATTACAAGAAGAAGCTAAAGAAGAGCCTAAGAACACTACATATTTTATTCCTCTGACTTTGCTTATATTAAATAATGTTTAAAAAACAATGATGTTCGTTTTTTCATTCTAAGCGTCATATCCCCCATTTTTTTTTCTTTTACATTTTTCTGTATGAAACGTGTTTAGTATGGATGTGCATAAAATGTTATGAATATAATAAATTGTTATGAGTGTTTAATGTATGTATGTATGTATGCATGTTTGTATATCGGTAAGAAAATTTGATATTCTTGATAAGAATGTAATGAAAAAAAAACATTTTTGCGTTAAAACTATTGTTTTTAATATAATAATATTAAAAAGTAAAATGAAAAGAAAAATTTGACACTTAATGTCACTTTTGACAGTTAATGTTGTTACGTAATAAAATATATTGATCTAAATATGCAACACAGAAACAAAAAATAAAACAAAAACAAATAGTTTTAAAATATTTTCATTATTTGAGATAAAAACAAATTATTTTCTCGTCGGTGAGTGAAAAGAGTGCCATATTGAAAGTTAAAAAAAAAATTTGTAGGCCTATTAATACAAAAGAAAAAAAAAACATTCAGAATAAAATTTTTTTGGAAAAAAACAAATTAAAACAAAAATTTGTAATCTTTTTGACATTATTATGAAGGACAAAATAAAGAAAACTAAAAAAAATTGAATATTTAAAAAAATACATAAAAATTTAATATTAAAAAAAAATATTAAAATTAATAAATGTCGTAATTTTCAAAATTAAATAAAAAAAAGGAAAAAAAAAAATAAAAAAAAAATAAAGTCTTTAACAATTTTTAAAAATTTTAAGCTTTTTTTGATAGATTTTTTTGTCTTACAAAATGGAGAAAATCATAAACATAATTATAAATTATTAAGGCCTAAAAAACAACTTACAAAAGAAAAAAAACAAAAATTTTAATGCTATTTATTGAATATTCACACTTTAAAATAGAAAATTACGAAAATTTACAAATTCGTGCAATATAAAAAAAATTTTTTTTAATTTTAAAATAGAAGCGAACAAAAATGTCTTGTGTATTGATATTGAAATTATTTAAATTATTTGGAATTAAAATTACTACAAGTTTAAATACCGTCGGAATGAATAACTCTTAAATTTCAACTTAAATATTTTTCATTGTTGAATCCTTATTTATAGTTATAAAAAAGTTTCAGTTTTATTTTAATTTTGTTCAACTTATATTAACAATTTATTGTAAAATAAATTAATTGGAAACCCACCAAAAGTAAATGACCGAGAAATTAATTAACTTAATCAACAATAATTTTCGAAATGCTGAAAATTTACATAATTTCATGTGTTTTGTAAAGAAATTCAAAAGAAATAATTGACAAATAAATTAGTTTGCAAATAGGCAAGTTTGAATAAATTTCTATGTGTTTACACTATTGTTGAATATCACAATGCGATATAAAAAGATGCCAAAATTTCAAAATCTATACATATATACGTTAGATGTCGAGATAATTTTTTATTGAAAATAAATACGGGAAAAGTTTAAAACTTTCAATTCGCTACCATATTACAAAATTTCCAAGGAACTTCACATTAATTACATTTATAAAAATTTAGTACATTTTCGTAATTTGAATTCATTTTATTGTTGTGAATATGTCATTTTTACAAAATATATGAATTTACTTAAATATTGAATAGACTTATTAAAAATATTATAAGATATATGTATCTATGTATGTGTATATAATATATATACATACATAAATTTTTTGAATTCAATTAAAAATATTGACTTTCAAAAATTATATATAATAGTTATATTATCTATCATTTTCTTAACAAAAATAAAAAAAAAAAACAAAAACAAAAAAAATTGAAATCGAAATTTTAGAATTATAAAATTATTTGGTTAAAACCAAGAAAACCAAGTTTAAAATTATTCATAAATTTAATTAATAATTTATTAAATTAAAAACAAAAAAAAAAAAACAAAAAATTAAAATTATTATTATTCGTTTTTTCTTATAGATTAAAAAAAAATTCGATGTGAAACACAATTCTCTTTTATTGAATATTGTTCCACAAATTTCCGATTGTTTCTTAGATGCGTATACATTGACTACATATACATATATATATATTTATATATTATGAAATACGAATTTTTTATACATTAGCATTTGAAAAATGAGAAAAAAAACATGAACTTTCTTTAAATTTTAATTTTAAAAATTATTATAAAAATTATGAACTAAAAATATCGTCGCCTAAGGCTTTATTTCTTAAGTGAACATTAAATTTAATATTAAAAGCATTATATTAAAAAAAATCTTTATTAAAACAAAAAAAAAAAAAAACAAAAAAAAGAGAACAATTAAATTTATTTTTTAATTAGTTAACAATTAATTAATTGAAATTAAAGTAAAAATAAAAAAACAAAAATAATTTTTTAAATAATTAAAATAAAAAAGCGCAAAAATAATAAAAAAAAATAAACTAAATTTAATCATAAATTGTGTATTTTTCTTAATTCTGTGATCTCAAAATTTAATTAATTAAATTTTATGTATTTTGTAAAATAATTATGTATGTATATGTGTATAATTATTGTTAAATATTATTAGACTTTTTAAATAAATTTAAATTAAATGAAAATTAAGTAAATGATTATTAAAAAATGGAAAAAAAAGGTAAAATAAAACAAAAAGTAAAAATCTGAAATTAATATTTTTAAATTTTATTATTGCCCTTTTCTATAGAATAGAAATTTTTTTCTTTAAATTTGAGAATATTTATTCTGTGTTCAATATTCCGCATAGTTACAACGCTATATGGTTAACTTGTTGGAAGCTTAACATTTCATTTTAAACTGCATTCTATTTAAATTCAAAGAGGGAGAGAGAAAAATTTAATAGAATAAACAGTATAGGATGAAAACTGTAAAGGTCTCAACATGTTCTATACAAAATGTAAACTGGGGCGGATTCACTTTATATTAAAAATTATTTATTTAATAAAATTAAATAAGAATTGATAATTTTAAAATGAAAATGATTTATATTATGTGGTCTACTTTTATATACGATCAGAGTTTTTTTTTTATTTTTAAAATTGATACAATTGTAAAATTTAAATTAGAATGTTTGCAAATATTATAATTATATAATTAGTTTCGATAAATCTCTATATAACATTAATGATTGAAAAAAGATTATTTAAAATTGAGTTTAAAATCATTTTCGACATGTTTCGTAATAACGCACCATTTAAGTTGATAATAATTGTAAATTTTACAATTAGAAACAAGTTTTGCTGGCTGTTAAAATGGTACAAAGTGTTTTGTATTAAATTTATATTTAATTACTTAACAATATTGTTAGAGTATAATTTTAAATAAAATTTAACTTATATTATGAATTATAATTTTATTTTATTGCCATTGATGTAGTATAGAGTGGCGAGACTTTGATCAACTTAAAACATTTTCATTTTGAATTTACCTTTGCGATTTCGTTAAAAAAAATGTATTATATAAATATATATCCGATTAAATTGATTCGATAAATAATTTGAATTTAGAGAAAAATATTTTATTTTGAAATTTTTTTCAAATTTAATATTAATTGTATGTTTGGGAACAGAAATGCAACGAAAAATTGTACGACATAGGCAATAATTATGTCAGATTTTTAGAGAGAATGCACATGCATTTCTGTCAACAACTCGTTATGATATACGACAGCATAAGTAATAATAACAAAAATTAAATATAAAAAGAAAAACAAAACTTAAAACTTCATTGTGTTCAATTATTATGGCAATGTTATTTTTTTTTTCATTTCAAATTCTTTATGTACTGTGAAAAATTATTTAATATTTCTATGTATGCGTTACTGTAAAATTTTCGATTCTCGAAGTAAAAAAAAAATTAATGAAATTTAAAAAAAATATTATTCGAAAAATTTGATTTTTAATTTTTAATTAAAAAAATCCGATAGGCACAAAAAATGAAAACTCAAAGTAAAACAAGAAAAAAAAAAACAAAAAACAAAAATATTTTTATTGTTTAAGATTTCAATTTTAAGATCTTTTATTTGTTAAGTCTATGTAGGCTAGTATAAATTATATATTACAAAAAAAAAAAACAAAAAACACAAATATATATGGAAAAAAATTAAATAAATTACAAAAAAAAACTAGTCTAGAAAATAAAAATTTAAAACAAAAGAAAAGAAGCGATTTAAAAATGAAAATAAAGTTATTTATTTCAATTAATTTAAAAAAACTATTTTTTATTCCTTATAATTAAAATTTATTTACAGTTATGACTTCTAGAAGCCAGTAGGTGATTTCCATACCGCTGGATCAATAAGAACAACTTATAAGAATAACTAAAGGCAATTCTTTCATACAACCGTAGAATGGATAGTTGGCGTAATTAAAGGAACGAGTCAAGTCAGGAAAATTAAAGAATTTTTCTTCTCGAACTAGACTCGAATTAATAATCCATCACTTTCTAAGCAGAGCTAGAAAGTGGTATGAAGAAATTACTGGCAAATTATTCTTCACATTACTTTAATTACTTAATTTCAAAACTGAATCCCATAAAACTGATATAATGTAGAAAGTTTTAGAAAAGTGTACAGTAAAAGCAAATAATCAAATTCAGACGCACGGTGATTTTATATATTTTTTTTGTATGTTTAATCTTTTGTGCTTGCTTGAAATTGCTAAACTCATTTTCATAATTCTTTAAAAATGATCTTTTAAGTGTCATTACTAAAAATTAAGTAAAATAAACGAAAAAGATGCCTTAAATTTGTTCGCGAAATTTCCATTGGCGTCCTTTCATATTTCCTTTCAAGGCGTCCTTTCTTTATTTTTCATGCTTAATTTTTATTGTGAAAACTAACGATTCACCCCTAAATTTTGTAACTCAGATAAATTTTATCAGTTTGCGAAAATATTATAGGTGCAATGTGCAACAATACTATTATAAGGTAATAAATTTGCTTGATTTTATTTTTTCAACACTTTCAATAAAAATACGCGTAACTTTCAAATGTACAAAATACAAAAATGTTTAAAAAGTTGCTATGAATAGAAAAATTTATTAATTTTTTTTATTCTTTTATTTTGTATATTAAATTTGTAAATATTTTTTCTAAATGCAAAGAAGCCGAGTAAAAAAAAAAAAACAAAAGCAAAATTTTTTATTTGATAAAGTTTTATGAATGAAAATTTTTATTGGTATAAAATTGGTGTGGTTATACTAAAATTACTAAGAATATGTGCGTATACTTTTGCATATATATATATACATATACATACATACATTTATATTTTGTAAAATTCGTACGTAATCGTACACAATACGCAAACAATTATTTTTATTTTTTATTTTTTAATCTAAACACTGGTAAATTATTAGGTTACTTTAATAGCCACCTATTTCCATGTAAACATAAAGTAACAAACAAAAAAAATAATAATACGAAAGAGATTCGATAAGTGTGTTTAGTCAAAAGGGAAATTGTTTTTGAGGGGTGGGTTTGAAAAAATGGATGCATAGAATAAAATTTTTAAAAAATAAAAGTAAAATAAAAAACAAAAATAATTTGAATCAAACCAATTATAAAGTAGCACTTTTCCTTTGAAGCATTTATAACAAAATATAACAACCACTTAAGATGAGAAAGGCAAATTGAAAAAAG